CTCCTACTCCCCTGGTCGTGCCCTTGACCCGTCCACTGTTGTAATCCTCCACTTGCCAAGTTACCAGAATTATCTTTTAGCGGCCAATGACACAGGTTTACTTTTGTTTTTGTTGTAGGTTGTTATTAAATTTAGGTGGTCTTTTTTGCCATAGAGTCCTTCTTCACAGTAATTCATTTCTTCTCAAAGTTACATGAGATTTTTATAAACTTTTTATGGGTACACATGGGATATTTCTTGCACTGCGTTGAGATGCCTAGATATGGATACTGGGTGGTATTTCCAAATTTCAGGACATTGATAGAAATACAAGTATCCTACTTGAAAAACTACTGTGAATTAAATAAACCATATATCAATATGCAGTAGTAAGATTACACTGATGTATATCATTATTATATATATATTAATGTTATATCACAGTACTTGAGATAAATGATCCTATATATTTTACAGTGCACGTCATAATTTCTGATATATGATATCATTATGGATGATTTCTTATTTTATTCAGTTTCTATTATCTGACTTATTTTACATTATAATTTACAGTCACAGTATTGGTATATGTGTCTTATCATCTAAAATAAGCATGTAGAAGTATTAGATTATCTTAGGTTGACATATCATATCTTTGGTCAGGAATACCTTATGGTTTGAATTATCAATAAAGAAATACAATGAGATAAAAATGTTTGAGCGCCTCTGGGACATAAATTTCTGCTTGAGTTCCATGTTGACTTTGCTCAGGTTTGATAGTTACCAGGCTTTCATTTTTCTTGGTAGGTTGGACAATACATAGCTTCAAATGGAGGGGTTGTCACTGCAGAAGAGCTTGCACCGTTTCTTGATGTATCACAAACAGATGAATCAAAGGTAATTGTGAGCACTGTTAATAACTGGTTCTCAAGAAGTAAAACGAAGCATGTGTGATAGATTAAGTTTCAGATTTATCGTATATATGGGAATTGTGTTCGTGTGAGTGCCTCTATGCATGTTTATTGGTAGGTTGTATGATATGTCACATATCAATAAGGTCATGAAAATGTTGGGAACTGCATTAGATTTGCTTTATTTTGTTTAGACATGGATTACAAGTTGCGATTGAAGGTGTGTGGTTTTAACTATGACATGGATCCTTACTATGTAATTTCTTTTGCATTGGAGTTTTGATTTGGAACAATTCTTTTTCCACTTAAAATGCAAATTTATTGAACACTACCAAGGGATGCACTACTTGACATATCACCCAATTTTTTGTCTTTCAGAAAGCGGTCAAACACCATGTTATAATTGATCAATAATGGGTTAGAAATTGTTGGAGGCACAATTTACAATTTTGCTCCTGTATTAAAACCAAAGTAGTTTATGAAAAGATTCTAAAAGTGTACGTTTGCTCCCTTGGGTGAAATCTAGCCAGAAGTAGTTTTAGGACCCCACTTTTTTTGGGATTGACCTACTCAACCTAGCAATCAACCTAGAAAAATAAATAAATAAAAGTTAAAATAAATCAATACATACCTGGAACGGAATGAAAATAATAATGTAAGATTGCGCATAAAATGTCCAATTTCCAGACATTCAGATCTAGGTGTTCAGTTACTCATGCATTTTTTTTGTGTATACTCATCAAGTGGATTCCAAAAGTTATAAATAAAAGAAATCCTCCCAAGTAGATCATTTGTGCTTGGAGTAAATGTAACGTTTACTCCTGCAGTAGTATTGTATACCCAGGAGGGCTATTGGTATTTGAAAGTGCCTATATCTCGGATGGATGGTTCCAATAAACCACTTTGGTTTCCATGGAGGGCAAATTGGACATTGCCCCTCCAATATTTGAGCCCTTATGATGTGAACCTCGATGGGCTTTTTGGAAGTAGGACAAAGGGAATGGGTGAACTGGTAAACAATGAATCTCTTGAGTGTTGTTTAATAAATTTTCTTTTCATTAATGAACTTTGCTTTTGTATAGGAGCCTTGAACTAGAAAATTTGCCTTTGCTAGTACTTTTTCTTTTATTATCTTTCGTGTTTTCTCTTGTTTTCTTCAGTTAATTTGCCTGGGTTTCTTTATATGTTTTTGATTTTCTGACAATGGGGTCTATTCTTATGTTAATCTGATCTTTCCTGATCTTTGGACTTTATAGGATGATGAATCATTCATGTTACCTGTGCTAATACGTTTTGATGGCCATCCAGAAGTAGACGAGGAGGTATTTTCCTAGAATCCATAGCTTTTGTTGTGTAACTCTGGGGGATGCATCATGAGTGCTGTTTATTGATAGGCGAATGTAATACATGTTTTGTTGTTTCATTTATTTATATTGTATTTTATGTTTCCTCTTATCAGTTTTTTTCCTATTCCTTGATGTGAGTGGCATGCTGAAAATGATATCTTTAGGATATTATCACGTGGAAGCTGCTTCCTTTGTGCTATATTTTAATTCCAATCTTACAGAACCTGTAAGATAATTTATAGCTTCTTTATTTTATATGAAAAAGGACACATTCAGTTGAAATACACGAATGAAAACCCCTACAACATGATAGTTTAATGACTTTTGGGTGACTTTTACTAGCTTCAAAAAAGTAAATATCCAAGCTCTTGTGTACTGGTTAGAAAAAGGAAAATTGATCAAAATATACCTAAGAGATGAACTATTTAACATTTTATCCGTTTCTTTTGAGAAAGCCCATCAAAATACATGTGATCAAGAGTTGGAATAGTCGAAAATGGGTAAAATATATAATAGTTGATAAGTTAGGTGTCATCATCATCATCATTTGAGCCTTATGCCAACTATTTGGGATTGGCTACACGAATCCTGTTTTGCCTTTCCACTCTATCAAGGGCCATGGCCTTAGACATTCCCACATTCCATGTGGCTAGACGAATCCTTTTTTGATAAGTTAAGATGTATTATGGTAAATTTCCCAAAAGAACCCATTTCTTGTGAGCATTTATTAGCTATGGCAAGTTTTAATTCCATATTGGAAATGCTGAAAATTTAGTTAGACAATAAAAATTACCAATTGATTAATAGTTTAATGACTTTGAGACAACTTACTAAACTATTTGTAATTGGGTCTCTAATTAGTGTTTTTGTTAATTTTGTCCACAGACATCTCTACATTTTCTTGTAAAATTTTAGATTCCTAAATCATCATCTAAAAGAAAAATGTTATCTAGAACAATATGCCTTTCAATTACTACACGCGCATATCATCATCATAAAGAAAATGTTTCATCTCATAACAATTTGCGTGCTTCACCAAATCAAACAAAAACACAAGGAACCTTTTTTTTTTTTGGGATAAACGAAAAGCAAAAGGAGGCATTGAAGAAATTTGCCAACTGCTCCAACTACTTCTGAGCTGCCCATTCAGTTGAAGTAAAGTTTGCTCTTCAGCAGTACTGCATGTATCCTCTTCTTGGGAATGAATATATCACATTTTTTATGCAACAATGTTACTGATTCATTCCTCCTTTATTTATTTTTTGGTATTTGATTTGTTCTCTTTCCAGTGCGGCTGTTGTTACTTTAGTTCTAATGCTCCCTTATGCTAGTCAGTATGTGATGCTAAGGTATCTAAAAAACTAAAAACTTACCATGTAATTATCTTTCATGGTTTGGATTATCAGAAAATCTTTACATGAAAGAGTTTCTTGAGTTGCCATTTTCTTTTTCCAAATTTGAGTAGATTTTCATGTGCAAACCAAGCTAAACTACTCAAAAAAGGATATATGGATGAGGATTGTCGTTTTTCTAAGTTACAATAATTTTATCTCGCAGGGGAACATTTTGTATCAATTTCCTTCACTACAACGAACGGCATCATCCCAAAGCCGTGGTAGAAAGGAGTTTGTTGGAAAAAGATGGAATGAGTGGGTTGGTGGGGTTGAAAAGTTTTTTGAGGAGAAGAGATGGCAATTTAGGTTTGTCTTTCATTCAAATTTATCTATATCAAATTTATCTATATTCTTACTTTCAAAAAAAAAAGTTATCTATATTCTTTAGGTTGGTGCCTTTGAAATGTTTTGGTGGTTGAAAACTCATTCACAAACAACGGAAAAAAGACTGGAAGTGGAAAATTAATTTGCATAAGGTTCAGTAATTTGCTTTGCATGTTTTTCAGAGGAGCATATTTAGACCTTTGATAAACTCCACCTTGGTGGCCCCATGCTAGTTAAAACCGGTCCCAAGCCCGGGTAAAGGAGGAGGGTTGTGTTAGGTTGGCAGCCAACGTAAAAGTTTGTCAAATCTTGTCATGAATTTCAAACCTTTGTTATGTGCTCAGGTAAGGGTGGTCCTTATATGTGGTGTGCTATAGCAACACCTGGGTGGAGTGAGAAATGAGCAAGCTAGGGCGTTCCTTGGAAGTGATGCACTGCAACGATGCCCTGTTGCAGTGACAAATAAGCAAAGGTTTTCGCTCATGGACGAGCGTGGGTAAAGAAGTTAGTCCAAGAGAATATGATTCGTCTAGCCACATGGAATATAGGAGCACTAACATATAAGAGTATGGAGTTAGTGGATACAATGAGACAAAGGAGAATTAACATAGCTTACCTGCAAGATACTAAGTGGAAAGGGGAAAAATCTAAGGAAATTGATGGATATAAACTTTGGTGTATAGGAACCGGCATTGTTGGTTCAGATGTGGGGGCTATTGTAAACGGAGTGCCGATTCATCGAGTGGTGCACCTGGCGGGGAATCCTCTTCTCTGTATTCTTCAGCTATTCTTTGCAAAAGAGAAAGCTCGAAAGACCTTGTCTATTGCGAGGCATAGAGGGATAAACCAATAATAGAAATGATGTAGGCATAATAGTAGACAATGATTTAAAGGATAAAATAGTTAATGTCAAGAGAGTAGGTTATAGGCTCCTAATTGAACTCGTGTTAGGGGATGATATAATTAATATAATTAGTGCTTATGCACTACAGGTAGGACTAGAGGATAGAATTAAGAGAGAATTCTGGGAGGACATGGATAGATCAGTCCAAGAAATATCAAATAGAGAGGATTTTTCTGGGAGGGGATCTAAATGGTCATGTAAGAAAAGGTAGTAAAGGATGTGAAAGGGCACAGGGGGGTTATGGTTTTGGGGAAACAAATGACATGGGTGAGGCTCTTTTGGATTTTGCTATGGCTTATGACCTAGCAATAGCAAACACCTACTTGAAAAAGTGAGATGAACATTTACGAATTTATATCAGTTAACTTTCTTAAAAAAACGTTTAATAACTTGTAAAAGTGGATCATATAAAAGGCATATCTAGTTAAGAAGGCAGAACGCCCATAATGTAAAAACTGTAAGGTTATTCATAGATAGAGTCTGACCACATAACATGCACTCTTGGTTATGGATGTTTGCATAAAGAAATAAAAGAGAAGGAATGAAATTAATAGGTATCCAAAACTAGGTGGTGGAATTTAAAAAGGGTGAACGTAAACTTATTTAGGAATAAAGTGATAAAAGAAAGAAACTTAAAATTTGAGCCCAAAGTTAATGTTATGTGGAATCAGATGGTTGCTTGTATTAATATACTAACAAAATAAGTTTTAGGAGAATCTGAAGGGAAAATGATTTATGATAAAAGAACTTGGTGGTGGAGTGAGGAGGTTTAGAAGACTATTAACAAAAAACGCTCATGTTATAAAGCTTGGCAATGTAATAGAAATGACCAAAATTTAGAAGAATATAAAAATACTAAGAAAACGCTAAGGAAATAGTAAGGCTAAAACTTAAGGCATATGATGATTTATACAATAATTTGGGGACAAGAGGATGTAAAAAGGATGTCTTCAAACTACTAAAAAGGAGAGAGGAGAAGTATAAGGATCTAGATCATATTAAATGTATTAAGAGTAAGGATCAGAGGGTCGTGGTGAAGGATGAAGAGGTCAATAAAATGTGGATAATTTATTTTCAAAAATTGTTAAATGATGAACACCATGGGAATACAACATTAGGGGGAACCTTTGGCATAAGTAGGGGCGGAGGTCATAGATGCAGTTATAGGATTAAGATATCTGAAATGAAAGAAGCTTTGCGAAAGATGAAGATATGGAAGGATTTATGACCACATGGTATCCTCATAGAGGTTTGGCAGTGCATGGGGAGTTTGACATGTTGGTTGACCAAGCTGTTTTGACAAGGTGTTGAGAACAAATATCAGACGAATGGAGAAAAAAGTATGTGTTACTTATTTACAAGAACAAAGGAAACATACAAAATTGTACGAACTATTGAGGGATCAAACTTATAAGCCACACTATGAAGTTGTGGGAGAGAGTGATTGAGCAACGACTAAGGCAGGAAACGAGTGTATTAGAAAATCAGTTCGGTTGTATGTCAGGGAGGCTAACAATTGAGGCTATTTTCTTACTTGCAATTGATTGAGAAGTTTAGAGAGAAGGAAAAAGACCTCTTTGTCTTTATTGATTTAAAGAAAGCATACTATAGGGTACTTGGAGCTTTAATTTAGTGGGTGTTGGAAAAGAATGTAATCTCCAGAGGCTATATGTCAGTGAGAGATATAAAAGAGGGAACGCTAACTAGGGTGAGGACCACTAGTGGAGAGACAAGTGAATTTTCAGAGACAGTTGGTCTACATTTGAGGTTAGCACTAATCCCACATCTCCTTGTTTTGGTTATGGACGAGTTAACTAGGCTACTACAAGATGAGGTACTATGGTGCATGCTGTTCGTGGATAACATAGTTTTGATCGATGAGAACCTAAACGATGTCAACACAAAGTTAGAACTTTGGAGGGATTTTCTAAAATCTGAAGGTTTTAAAATTAGTCAGACTGAGACAAAATATATGGGATGCAAGTTGTAGAAATGAGGAAGTAGTTAATATTGATGGCGGTGAAATACCTAAAAGAGGTTATTTTTGATATCTTGGGTCAATAATCCAGGAGAATGGCGCGATTGAGGAAGATGTTGTGCATAAAGTTAGAGTTGTGTGGGTGAAATGGAGATGTGCATCCGGAGTTTTATGTGATTGTCCCATACTAATGAAATTGAAGAGGAGTTCTATAGGACAATTATAAGGCTATCCATGCTTTATAGGACAGAATGTTGGGTGGTCAAGAAACAACATATCCATAGGATAAGTGTAGATGAGATGAGGATATTGATATGAATGAGTAGCAAGACAAGAAAGGACATAATCCAGGATGAATGCATTCAAGGAAATTAGGGGCGACTTCAATAGGCGGTAAGATGAGGAAAAAGTAGACTTAGGTGGGCTGGCAATGTGCATATCTAATACAACAGTGATTAGGAGGTACGATTTAGTTCAAGTGTAAGGCTCTAAAAAGGTTAGGGGATGACCCAAAAGGACATGGATGGAAGTAGTGAGAAAAAATATGGTGATATATAGTTTTATAGATGGTATGACCCTTGATAGACCAAAATGACGGAACATAATTCACATAGCTGACCCCAAATACTTGGGATAAGGATTGGACAATGATTATGATTTAGACCTTTGATAATTGCTTGGCAACATCCTTTTTTTTCATCATTTGTGAAATATTGTCCATAAAACTTGAAACGATTCTCAAAAGGGAAAAAAAGAATGGTATGCTGGGGTTTGAACTTTTAAAGAAGTTAGTAAATTTATAATTTTTTTTTTTTAATGAAGAGATAGCTCATTCATAAAAAGCTTGTTTCTATGCAGCAAAATAGGGAACTCGGAAAAGGTTATGGTCATTGGTCTGGGAGGGCTCAACCTTGCTGGAGTCATCATTCTGGGTGGCATGTTAAAGTATTCTTTGTTTGAACAAGTTCGTTTTTAGTCTTTGAATAACAATGCAAATTGCAGTTCTAACAATGGTTTCTGTCTCTTATGAAGGAATATCACACTTACCCAGGGGGGATTGATTTCATTTGTAACAGATGTATTTCCTTTACTTCAGGTAATCCTCTGATGTATCATTCTTGCATTTAGCTGACTTATACTCATGCATATATGAATGAATGCGTATCTGACGATTAATAACTCCGAGCTGATTGCATCAGAGATTTGTTTCTTTTAAATGTGCTGAAATTGTGGCATTCATTTTCTGAAATTCAGGTCTGAACTACACTCGTATTGGTCCTTTCTTAATTGTAACTATCTTCGAAAACAACTGAGAAAGGGAAAATTATCGTTGTAATTTGCAGATATATGCAGCCTCTTTCTTTGCAATTCCACTGTTCAGGTGGTTTCTAGTTCGCAAGAGGAATACAGAGATTGATAAGAGGAATAAGGCTAGAGAACAAAGATCCAGAGTATTGGAAATGCCAGATTTATCTCTCAGACGTAAAGTAAGTATTTTAACTGTTTAGTGAGACAAAATAATCAAAGGGTTAAAACTTTTAATGCGTCCATTTTGATTTCCACCTAGAAAGATGTCCCTCTTGAGCTATCAAAATAAGGTACTTATAACTCTTAGGGATAAAAGTCCAACAAAAGAAAATAAAGGTTTCATTTTCATCTTAATTTCGGTGAGTGGAATGCTTCAATTCTGTTATCCAAAAACAGTAGCCCCCTGCTTTGATTTTAGTCTCTTTTTGCAAGTTGGTTTATCATCATCATCATCACCATCATCACCATCACCATCGCCATCATCATCATAATCATCACCATCACCATGACCATCATCTTCATTGTCATCATCACCATCATCATCTTTATTATCGTCATCATCATTTATCATTATCACTATGATTTTTGTTGTTATTAGTATTGGTATTATTATTAGTATTGTTTTTGTTGACAAAGCATTATTTGTGGTTTTGAAACATGTTAGTTGCTGAGTGCTCGTGACATGGCGAAGCAAACAGTAATTGGGTCAGATTGCATTGTGTACAGTACAGACAAGGATTTCTCCGAGCAAGATTATGAAGCTAAAGAATGGGATCGTCAATTTAGAGAATTGGAGAGATCAGATTAGCCGGGTGAGAATTAAATGATACATTCACTGTGCGGCCTTTCTTTTAGACTGCCCATCAATTCAGGGCCTTGCAACTGCATATATGACAGAGAGAGGGAAAGGGGCGCAGAGGAGGGAGGGTTGTCTATAAATTCAACACTGATGGACAGAGAAAAGAGCAAAGCCGATCAATTATTTGTGCATGTGTGGAAATGAGTTCAAGGTTAGGTGATCAGGGTGGTGGAGTGCCATAATATGACATCTTAAGTTTCAATTCTTATTGCGGATAGAGACCCTTTCCCACTGAACTAAAAAAAAAGGAAAGAAAATTATTGGCTCATGGGTTGAGCATTTTTTCTGAAAATTTCTGCACATATTTTCCTCAATCGGAGATTGTATGAGTTATGAAAAGAAAAAGACAGTGGATAATTAAGTTACAGCCTTGTATTTATCTCCGACATTGTATTTATAATCTTTTATTTGTAGTATGTTATACCCGTTTTATCCATCAATATATTATATACCCATATTGCCGCCACATAGTTCAGCAGAAGCCTAGAGTCTTGGAACAAATGGGTATTTTGGTCGTTTTTGTCTCAGCAGTGTAATCTGACAAACAAGAGGAATCACAAATGTTAGGAAAGTATATCATGATACATCTTCAAAGTAAAATATATGGTTCACATATGGCGTACCTTACAAAACAATTCAAATGTTCAACTGGCGGGACTCCCAGCCGCCCTCTCTCTCTCTCTCTCTCTATATCTCTCAAATGACTAATTTCTGGATAGCACAATGCGTCTCTCGGATTTCTATAAGAGATGTTGGCCCCCACCCGACTTACTGGTTTCTGGATAATGTAAGGCGTCTCATGTTTTTCTATTAGGCGCTGTGGTGCAACAGTTGTTTATGAACTTCTCAGTGAGATCCTATGCTCTTCTTTAGTAAATCATTTTATATGTTTTTTTTTCGGTGTTTTTACTCCTTTTGTATTCCATGACCTTGGGCACGTTTGGTTGGTGCATAAATATTTCTCTTCGAAAAATATTTACATATGTAAACAATTTTCAGGAATTTTTTTATAAACCTTCTTTTTTAGTATTTTTAAAAAGCAATTCGTAATGAATTATATATGTCTGATAACTTGTTTGGTATTTAAATATATTTTGTAAATATATTAAGTCTATACATGCAATATTTTAATATTGTAACTAAAACTATATAGTTGTATTTATTTAAAGGGTGTAGTTTGTATAGAGCCGTGGCTTTAAACAATCAAAGTAAAGTGCATCTTCAAATAGTATCGAGAATTGTGGTTTCAATACTGAAAATCTTGGTGATAGCTTTAAAGTATATTTTCATACTTAATTATAAAATTTAAAGCTTCAAAAATAGTGTAGAACAAGTAGATCTATGAAAACTTGAAAATCTTGAAAATTGACGGTCTAAAAATGCGTAACAAGATGTACTATTTCCAAAACTTGAAATCCATTTTTTGTTTCTCATGTCCATACATCTTGATGTCGAGATGATCAATTTGAGGATATTTGAGCATTAAAACAAAGTGAAAATTTTGAGATGGGCTCTAATTTGATTGTTTAGAGCCTCGGCTCTATATAAACTTTTTCTTTATTTAAATATTATATATTAAATATTACTTTTATATCAAATATAACATTATTATCTAATACAATGTATTGTAAATATCTATTAAATAAATAAAATATATTATCTATTATATACTAAAATATATATCATATAAATTATATTACATAAATATATAATATTTATTTATTTCTATTATAATATGTAATATAATATTTATTTCATTTTATTAATTGTATATTTGTATTATATATAATTTATATAATATAATAAATATGTATATTATATAATACAAATATATATTTATAATATAAATATAAATATATATTATATATAAAATGATTTAATATATTTAATATTTATTTTTATTATAATATGTAATATAATATTTATTTCATTAATATATTTGTATTATATATAATATATAAAATAATATTTATTATAATATAATATGTAATATAACATCCAATAATTTATATTTAAATATATTATTTGATATATAAATAAAATATTTTACATGTTTATCTACTTGAAGATTAATGAGGTGGTTTCAATATCGCGGTAATTATGCATGTCAAAAGCTTGTCTTTTTTTTCAAACCTTTTCAATGTTCTCGAGATGAAGGATCTCTTTCAACCATTTGCAGTTAGTTGAAATCGGTACTCAGCTTATTGGCTATTTTCTAGATTTTATCTTTTATTTTGCCCAAGCGTACATGCAATATGGTGTAGAGGCCACAGTGCAAGTTTTTATGAGTAGGCTCAACTGGTAAGGAAGAGATTCCTTTAATCAAGTGGAAAAATATATGCCTCACTGTGGAAGAATGGGTGGATTTGGCGTCCGTGATATCGTTGAGTTCAATACTGATGGCATGATGAAATTGACATAGAAGTCTTGAATAACCGTTCATCTTTAATAGCACGCTTCTTTAAGCATTTTATAAGAAAAGTTGCTCTAATATTTGGAAGGGCATACAAATGGCCTTATGTTTTTCTCGCCACAATATTATATGGATAATTGGGGATGGCAAATCGGTTGATTTCTGGGCAAATCCATGGTTATCAGAGAGGTATATTATGAAATTTTATGGTAACCATATATATAGAGATTTGGGGCTTCTTGCTAAACTTAGTGTTGTAAATTATATACATAGTTCTCCATAGACTTGGCATCTATCTTCTAGTGCATCTCGTACACTATTACGAGCATGGAAAGAGGTGGCGGCATTTACAATCCCTTTGGTACCAGAACAAGACTTTTTCATATGTACTCATTGCTCTAATGGGTTATTTTTGGGTTATTTTTGGTTAAGGAGTCAGGGCTATTTATTCAACCTTGAGGCTCTCTCCAATCCATTTTCAAAGCATTATGGTTTTAAAGTGCCCCCTTAGGGCAAAATGATTTTCTTGGTTGGCCTTTCATCATCGACTTCGCAGTTACTCTGTTTTGTAGCAAAGAAGGATCGCCCTAGCTTCTATGTGCCCTTTTTGCCATTCTAATGATGACAACTTATGGCACCTATTGCTTGTTGCACTTTCTCGCAAGATATGAAGATCGATAGCGTGGGGATGTGGTAAAAGATTCATTCCAAACTCATCCATTGCATTAGAAAGTAGCTAGCCTTCATATTTAAGTCGGATGGGTTTCTTAATATTTGGCATTCTCCATTTTTTACAGCATTTTGGGAAGAGCAAAATCAGCCTATAATTCATGGAAAGGACTTTAGGCCTGAACAATTGGTAAGGAAGATTATTGGTCATGTTAAAAAACTAACAAATACCAAAGTGTGGTCATATCACATCTCAGATATGGCAATAACATGTAATCTACAAGTTACATGCAGACAACGCAGGATCGTCCCTCACACTGATTACATAGATATTTCCATGCCTCCAACATTTCAAGTTGAATATTGGTGGGTCTTCTCTTCAAAACCTAGGGATAGCAAGTTGTGGGGGAGTCATAAGAAGGGACGATGATTCTTTCTTTTATGCTTTTGCCATTCGTGCGTTGTAAGCAGGTGTTGAAATGACTATCTCAATTAAATGTTTCTTCTTACAAATTAAAAGTGATTCTTCATTTCTTGTACAACTCATACGTGGTCACTGCAAATCTCCAAGGGCATTTCATACAATAGCAACTAATTGCTGATATAGACTTGTAAATTGTTACGGTCTATTTGTCATGTCTACTGTTAGGTTAATAGAGCAGCTAATGCATTTGCTAAAAAGGCTACAATCTTTTCAGTTGCAACCGTTTTGCGATTTAAGCCTCTACATTTTCTTTTTTTTCCTTGATGTTGCACAATTGCCCCATTGTAGAGTTGTAAAATAGTGAGTTGTAATTTATATCTTACTACTAATGAAAAATAGGTAAGGGATTTTCTCCCCCTATCAAAGGTATACTTGTATTGTTGCCTAATTGGAAAAAAAAACAACTTTCATAAACCTCATCGACATTTTTATTTTGTATTTTTTTTACCAAAATAACATTCAAAGTAGTCGTATTATTGTGAAACCCTAGCAATACGGTACTTTAAGTACTGTAATGACTACCCAATTTTATACGGCAGTGATAACTCGAAGTATTTTAAATGCCATAACTGAAGAAAAAGAATGTCGACACGGTTTCTAAGGACACGGTTTCTATGAGTCAATGTAGAAATCAGTCACCTCTTAAAAATCTATTTTTGAGATGGATTATGGGATTGAAGTTTTAAGGACATGTAATCTCTAACATAACGATCATGAAAATGAAAAAATAAATAATAATTCTATTAAAAAAAACAGTTGGACCATTGGTCTCAATTATTTTTAGATAGTTTCAATTGTTTTAAGATGGACCACCTATTTGCATCCATCTTTAAAATGGATGCTTTGTACCTTGAGAATCGCAAATGTAGAAATGCGGTCCCCACCTCATGAAACAATTTTCCTTCATCTAATGATGATAATCTACAAGATTTGGGATGAAACAAATCCTCTGGCCCTTGATCTAAATTTTATTTTTTCTTTTCTAAAATAGAAATGTGCTCATTATTTTTTCTCTCTTTAAAAAAAGCCAAGTCTCAAGGGTATGTTTTTTCCTAAAATATTTCCGTCATTCTGTTCGAGTCTTCCCTTGGAAAGACCATATGTTTTCCCAAGATATTTGGTCCGCTCTCTACTACTTTTCTTGGGGGCATTTGTTAGCCCCAATATCATGTAATTGAGGGTGTGTCATTGATCCGGCTTAAAGTCCACAAAATTTTTGAAACTGCATGCACTTCAAGTTGTTGGATTTAACGTGTGACTAATGGCGGCTGACGGGCTGAGACCTTCATGTGCCGCAGACTAGTTATATCCAAATTTTCAAATCAGTAGAGTGGATCTTAAGTCACGTATAATGTACCTCGTTGGTGTTAAGAAGCTTAATTGGACTCATTTTGGGTATCTATGCATTTAACATTTACCCTGTTTTACTTTGGGATAAGTATCAAACATTAGATAAGTACAAGGAGATATGAGAGTTGGAAAATATAAGGGAAACTTATCTTTCATACATAATAAAATCCTCGTAGATGCAGAAACAATAATCTTAAAGTTAGATTCTATCAAGATTGTGTATTTATTCAGCCATGATACAATAAATACAGCATTAAAGGCACATACCACAAGATCAAAAAGATTTACGTGGTTCACTTCAAGACGGCTACATCCATCGACACGGCAAACTAATATCCACTATACCAATAAAAGTTACATTACAGATTTTGTGACATAGAGTTACCTCTATAACTCTTGATGAAACCCACTATACCAATAAAAGTTACATTACAGATTTTGTGACATAGACTTACCTCTATAACCCTCGATAATACCCAATTGAGTAAACCTTTTTAGACCCAGTCTGCCTATCGACACAATTGTCGACCTCTTAATACTATCCAAAAAGAGACCATCTACATTCCACAGGTAAACCACTTTCCATGGGGACTCCATCTCCCTTACAC